TAGGGTTTAGGGTTGAGGGTTTTTCTCGAACACCTAAACCACACCCAAAGGTGGGTAAAATCATGGCCCACCTCTGAACGGCTATTACTCAACATACTTGCCTGCAGTCCAGGTGAAGTTTTCTCACAGAATCATGTAAGGGTATAGTTGGGCTCAGGGCTTAAGGGGCTTCAGAGAAGGCTTTGCCGTATGTTTAAGGGGCGTGTCTATACAGAGGACGTCCGTTTGTTTGTTGGGGGCGGTGGGTGGCGGGGCTTTGGGGTGTTGAGGGTTGTTTTAGAGGCCTGAACCAAACCCGGAAGCCCCACAACCCGAACGCCCAAACCCTAAACCCTAAACNNACCCTAAACCCCAAAACACAAACCCTAAAATTACCCTAAACCCCAAACCCCAAAACCCAAAACCCCAAAACCCTAAACCCCTAAACCCAGAACCCCCAAAACCCTAAACCCCAAAGCCCCAAAAGCTTGAAACTTTAAACCCTAAGGTCTTACATGGTTCGGTCTGCGGGTCCATCCCCTAGTCTGCTCGCAGCCCTGAGGCTACCAAGCTAAACCGCAAAGACCCCGAAACCGAAGGGTTTAGGGCTTATGGGGTTTATAGCATTTTGTTGTTTAAGGGCCTTTTTTCGTCGCTTGCGCTGCAAAGCCCTTGTTCGGCAGGGTGTATAGGGTTTAGGCTTTAGGGTTTTAGGGAGTACCCTGGATAACACATATTATGCAATCTAGATTCGAACTCTTCAAGGACCTCAGTCAACGATGGAGACGGCCAGGGCCAGGTACACCCTGAATCCGAAAGGTCGAGAACCTTGCCTCGGATAAACCCTAACTCCCGATGCATCCGAAAACCTAGAACCTTACTCCTTACGGTAGGTGACAAGAGCTGGGAACATCAATAACCTCATCAAGTATAAAGGAGAGGCGTAGAACAAATCCCGGAACTTTCCACCGAACGCGAAGCCTGGAGGATGCGGCCCTCCGTGTACTGCTCGAAAGGATCCAAGTTGTGCCCTGAAAGCCAACAGCTTCGCGTACGGGAGGCTCGTTTACATCGCATGCAAGCACCGGGCATGGGCTTTAGGACCCTCAGATCAATACCGGGACGGCAAACCGCAGAACACTGTTTTGCTACCTCAGTACTTTTATAATAAGACCGAAACCTTCAACAGGTGATCCAAACTAGGGTACTATGTTCTAGGGTAGAGGATTGACTTGAGCTAGGAGGTTTAAGAATCAGCCCTGGTTATGGTCCGGTGCTGAGGATCCAGAGTTCTGGAGCGTAAGCGGATTTTTGGGGCTTCAGCCTTTGTAAACACTTTCGTCTTTCTCTTTCGTGCGGAACAGGCAGACAAACACAGAGAGAGAGTGAGAGAGAGAGAGAGGGACAGAGAGAGACAGACAGAGACGGACAGACAGACAGACAGACGGAAGACGGACAGAGAGAGAGAGAGAGAGAGAGATCGCGAGAGTGAGACCGAGAGCGTGCGAGAGCAAGAGCTTCGTAGCGTGTCATAAGGCGCTTCACGGTCCGTACTGGCTTGTGAGGCTTGTGCTTAACCCGAAAGAACCGGATGTATAGTCAGCCAAAAGTCCTACGCTAAAGCAGCGCTGGTCACCAGAAGAAAAAAATCAAAAGCACCACCATTTTGTCAACTCGCTGTGATGTTCTGAGTCCCGAAGCCTTTTCTGGAAAAAGCTTCAATTGCAGCTCGAATGGTGGAGGAAGACCACGGATAGCTTGCAGCAGAATGCATGGGGTATAGGGGCTTGTGAAACTGAACCTGGGAACCATCCCCTTGCTGGAAAGCTTCTGAGGGTGCCGGAGAACATCACCTCAGTAACTTTTGGGATTTGGGTTCTAGGGCTCATCTTTGAGATACCCCCCAGTAGAAGATACTTTAATGGACGGCTCGAAAAATTCGTGGAACTATCCCCTTACAGTCCTCTAAGAATGTGAAATAACCCTACCATAACATCTCAGAGGTACAGGTTTTGGGACCCGAGACGGCAATGACTGCATCGACACTTGCTGCATGAAGCGCACCGCTCACTCTTCAAAAACATGGCGCAAACACTTAGTCGGCTACAAGTCCCCCCAGCCCTAAAACCCTAAATTAAAGCCCGGCTTAAGGTGAACGGTGTTGTGCTGGGGCCGCACGTCTTGATTTAGGGGAAGCTTCAGGGATTCGGGGCAGCTGTAGATTGTATAAGTCTGGATCCGAACCTCGAAGAACTTACAAGATAACTCCAGGACGCCCCCCCCTGCCAGAGATGATGGGCAAAATGCGATTCAAAACGGCACAAACCCTGGCCCCGTTCCGAATGGACCCTAGCCCATACCCGAAACTCTGTTGCCCCACCGCTGACCACCCGGACTGCAAATTGAAGCTTCTCTAGATTCGGGTCCCCTGTTGAGAGGTCGGCATTGTTGTCACCTCCAACACTTTAGACAAGTGCCTCAGAAGAAACCCAAGCTGGCATGGTCATCATCATCATCACCACCAATATCCGAACGATACGGAGCAGGATTCAGGAGGCTGCGATTCAAAATTCCTGTATGGTGAAGCTTGACATCGTTAGAAACTTTGTATTTCTGCTGGGACACCGGATCTTGAGGAACCAAACCCATGGCCGATCGCAGCGTCGCCAATCCGATATCACGAGTGTCCACTCCGTTGATGAGAACCTTGAGGGTGTCGGTTGAGGGCTCGGAGTGTTTATGGTTGAGGGCTTAAAATGTAGGAGTAAGCTCAAGAGCTAAAGCATTAGGTAGTTTGGGTGGCATGAGTGTCTGTCTTCATTGCTTGCTGTTGGTGCTCGGACTGATAGGGATGATTTCGAGCGGATGTTGGTCTTAGGGCGTTCAACGCAAGCTCGGCTTGTTGCAGAAGAAACAGCTCGAAGCAACAGCAGGAACAACCAGTAGGGATATGCATGTACACCCGGAGTGTACTCTGTATTCTGCTGTATGTCCTTGCTGAGACCTATTATTCGGATTTTAGCGGCATCGGCATCTAAACAAAAAGAAACTACACAACTCCTTGTAAATTACAGACAGAGCCCTCCATTACACACAGTCTACCCATAGGCCCCTAAGGAGTTCCTTTTTTGGGATTACCCTATAGGATTCTAAACATACACCACAAAAAGGAACTACGTAGGGGCCTAGGGGTATATGCCCCGGCGTGCAGGCAAAGACACCCTGCCAGCTCGGGGCTCTAGCACTCGCAGCAGAACCAAGAGGAAGCTGGACTTGCCTTGGTTTCTCGGCAAGATGATGTTAAGGTTGTATTGGATATCGTACTGTAACTGTAACATACTATCTTATACTTATCTGTACTATGCTAAATTATGTTGCATTGTGTTTCGTGATGTTTTGTATAATATAGTACATTATTTTATGCTGTGTTCTATTCTGTCATGTTATTCAGGCTCTGTTGAGCTACGGCTGCGGTCTACTGCCATCTTCTCGGAGTCGGAGGACCCTTGGGTTCTCGGCTTTAGGGTTAGGCAGAAGGCAGAATGTGCGTTCAGCGATTTGTTGATGAAGGTACAGGAAGAGGGACTGTTGGAAGCTCAGGGGATATGTACTCCCTGAGACAAGGTTCAGGTCTGTTGTTGATCTTAACCTGACGGTGGCGCTCCTCGCAGTTCCACTGTTTCGACTGCCACTTCCACCATAATTAGGTCCTGCACTACTCTGGCAGCTCATTGAAGAAAAGATTACGGGATTCCACACACAAAAAAACGAAAGCATCGCACCCTGGAAAGTGCAAACTGCGAGGTCGGACAGACATGAACAAGCTGCCACATCCAGTGGTGCCCACGATGCCTACCTGACAAGGTTTGCAAGGCAAAATGTGGTTTCTAGGCTGGTTTAAGCCTTGGGTTTGGAGGTAATCTTGGGTAAAAATGCGGAGCCGCTCAGAATTTCTTGCGGCGACGTGAGAGATCCTGTTGTTTCAAAGAAGGCATGCATCAAGAGATGAGAGATGAGAGGATACAGGAGACCTACTCAGAAGAGCTTACAACATTCGTGAACGCGACGCAGAGAAATCGGTTACACTGGATCTCGGCTTCTGGTCACAGCAGCAGGAGTCTGCTGACTTCACCGTGGTGGCCTTTGGTGCAGGAAATTCAATCTGAGCTTTAAAGCCAACAAAGTAAATCCAACAAGAAGCCTGTGCCAGCTTGCGATCTGCAGGTGTTTGTTATATTGGGCGAAGCACATGGAGCTTGTGTCCATCTTGCTTTAGGTGTGAGATTTGTCAGTTTGCAATGAAAGGCAGGAGAGTATCCACCAAAACGGAAGCGATGTGGAGTCGAGGTGCAACCCTTACACTTGAATCTTCTCGTTTGGAGCAAGCTCAAGAGCCAACATCCTAGGGACTCAAGTTAAATCTTCCCAAACATGGAGCTACCTGTGCCAAAACAGGAAACCCTAAACCCTAAAACCCTAAACTCCTAAAAACCCTAAATCCTAAAAACCCTAAACTCTAAAACCCTAAACCCTAAAACCCTAAACCAGCCTTGGACCTGGCGTCGAAAGTGAGGTTGATGCCCTTCAGCACATCCCGCGCTGCGTCCGCGTAGCCAGCCTTGAGATTCTCAACCTCAGCGCTTGCAAGGCCCGAGGCCCAATCTACGAGTAGGAACCAAACCCCTATAACCCTAAACCCTACAAACCCTAAACCCTATAAACCCTATAAACTCTTAAGGCCCCAACAACCGATGAACGCCCAGTTAGAAACCCAACCACTCTTGACTCTCTGAGGCTTATGATACGGAAGTCTGGAGATCCCGAGGTTTCCGAACTTCGTTTCAGTTTCGGGGATCCGGTTGAAGACTTACGGCCCGGAAGGCAGGGTTCAGGGTTGTGGGGGAGGGGGTTTAGGGGTTTAGGGCTAAGGGTTTAGGGGATTAGGGGCTTAGGGTTGAGGGGGGCATATGAGATTGGGCTGAAGATACAGTAGAATGTTGCTGTTGAGTTGCAGCCAATCAGCCTCTGGGAGTCAGAAACTGAGGTGTTACAGCTCATGTGTGCAAACGCTTTCGAGAGAGGCTTTCCTGAAAGATACTGGGATTGGTCCAATTAGGGTTGGGTTTAGGGTTTGGGGTTTAGGGTTTAGGGCTTATAGGGTTTAGGGTTTAGGGGATCTGCTTCACACCGGAAGAACTTTTGCTCCTTGCTCCCGGTTCATCTAAAGCAGGGAAAGGACCACAGGTGACAGCGAGAAAGCACCGCAGCGACGACTATCGGCCATCGAGCGTCCGGGACCAGAAGGGTGAGGCAAAAGCAATAGGGGTTTAGGGTTTAGGGTTTAGGGTTTAGGGGCAGGGGCCACAACCAACCTAGACTTCGCAGCGTAGTACGCGTGAGACTTTCATGTCACCTGGACATACTTGGGAAGACACTCACTAGACCCCCTTGCTCAACGACTTTAAACAAACAGATCAAACCTTCGATTCGAAAGTATGGATATGAAGTAGACTTTGTTACTGCCAGTTTCCCCAGAACAACACCCAACTCCGCTTACGAGCAATGGGCCCTGCGATTGATTGATTGATTGATAGATTGATTGATTGACTGATTGCTTGGTTGCTTGCTTGGTTGGTTGGTTGATTGATTGATTGACTGATTGATCGATCGGTTGATTGATTGATACACTCACCGCCGCGGAGCCCTGTGCATGCTTAACAAAACCCCTAAACCCAAACTACTTCGTGGAAGAGCGGCATTGATCCGGGCACCCTCATATAGCCAACCGCTCTGGACACCAATGAGGACCTGGCTGCAAGCACCAAAAGATTCGGAGCTTTCGGGCTATGGTGCTTTTATCAGGGCTCCATGAAAGTGCATCAAGGGACTCACAAGCTTTAATGGTATAACATCCAGTATTATATTCCATTCGGTTATACTATACTCCATTAACCTATTCTTTAAATGGCGCAACCGACCCTAAAGGTTCCAACGGTTTGGATCTTGGAGATGATCATATGACGTTCAGACGTTCCGTCTTTGAGTGAACCCTAGCTCTAAAACGATTGACAGTGTAAGGCTGACAATTTAATTAAGAGCTCATACTATCTAAGGTTCAGATTGCGTAGGTTGTTGGTCGGACTCAGAGTGTAGTGTGGGGTTTCCCAGTAAGCGCAAACCGTGTCTAAACCTCGGTGGCGCGAATCGAAGACCAGATCGTAGCCTTCAAGAGGGTTACGTTACGGGCTACGATGAGTACCCATAGGCTCCTTAGTAGTTCTTTTTTGGGATTACCTTATAGGATCCCAAATATGAACCACAAAAAGGAACTACTTAGGAGCCTATGGGTATTGAAGTCTCATAGGTCTGGGGTTTAGGGCAAGGCGTGTGGCGTCCGCGGACTGCGCAATTACAGCACAGGATCATCACAGCGCATGCTGTCAGGCAAAGGGCAGTGGAATTTCGGTCGCCCTTGAGTCGAAACTACCCCTTAAAGCCGTATACTTCCCGTCAAATTAACATCAATTAATATCAATTACTTCTACCTTTGAGCCAAGTATAATGGTGATAAGAATTAACTCTACCTTGGACCCGTGAGGATCAAGGGTTTCGGATCCAGCCTGTTGAGCGCCGGAGAAGCTGACAGCAGTGACCTCCAGGAGTGCCACAGGCTCAGTGTAAACAATCCGACCCGAAGCAAGGAGTAATGTGAGTAACGGACGTCTAACCTCTGCCCTCTGTGATTAAATTTTCGCAGATTTCATAGCTTGTGAATGAAGAGGGGTTTACTTCATCAGGGAGTCCACAGTATCCAAACACCAAGATCTTTCCCAGCCTCACCTTCAACAATATGAAGCAAACACAAACAAATCTGCTCGAGTGATGACAGAAAAATGGACGCGCAGTCGCATACTTCCTTCTCCGCGCCCTTACATTGAACTAGTCCTTCGAGTAAGGTTTGGGAGATTTGAGACTATAACTAGTAACTAGAATAAGGAAGTCCAAAATAGTATCGGTAATTACTAGGCCCCTGTATTACGTTTATTCTCCATCGTGAACTCAAGGACTGCTAATTGCGGTCTTCGCCAGCGTGATTCATGATTGTTTAGTAGGCAATTTGACAATTTGCTTGCTATATGAGCTGACATCATGCACACAACTGAAATACTGCTGCTCACACTCTCTCTCTCTCTCTCTCCCTCTCTCTCTGCACGCTGCTGTCGCTGAGCGTTGCCCAGCACGTAAGGAACAATCGGATCCTAGCTGCGGAATGGAAATCATGAGCCCCTAGGTCTATGACCACATGGGCTTTCAAACTGAAAAGTGATGCCAGCGCCGCGCTTCTGCTGCTTTGAAGTATTCTATGACCTACTCGATGAGGTTAATCTAATAACCCATCTCGGTTGAAAGGAGCTTCGCGGTTGTTTGCTCTGGTTGCCAACACCCTAATTCGCGCGATGTTGTGCTCATCACATTCGGTGTTGGGATCGCATGCTGTGTCTGCGTCTCTGCATGATGCTTCAACAAACCAGTTGGCTCTTGGCTTTCCGACTCTACGAGTGTGTTCAATACGTGGTCTATCCGTACCTTGTTCAAACAGTGTTTGTTTCACTGGATCGTCCGATGGAGCCCTCAAGGTGTGGCCTATGTAGTAGGGTGATGTTGCGCTGCTTCCATCTGTCTGATAATTTGCCAGGCTCGTAATTCGTCTATTACTTTTCGATTGGCCATTCCCTATCGATATGGGTATTCAACACTCGTCGCAACATCCTCAATTGAAATGCGTCTGCTCGATCCTGATCTGATTCATTTTGGGAACTGCACAGTCTCTAATCCATACAATACCATATTCATTACAACGGCATCTAAAACTGCTGTTCACTAAACCCGCAAACTGTACCCCGCCTTGTGCTTGCAAAGCTCTTCCGCCATCTTCCGGGCATCACGGACAACATCGTTAACCACGACGATGCGGTGCCAGGACTCTGCCTCTATAGGCTGCATGTCTTATTCATATGTGGGATTCCGACGCTATTGATAAAGTTCAGTGGGCTTAGTGAAGTTTAGCGCTACATGACTTCCGGCTTATGGGTTTTCGATCTTGGAGGTGCCACAACCATGTACTTCTCCTTCAGCGCCGTCACGGACACCAAAAATAAGCTCATGCTCTAGACTGGGAAAGGTGGAAGGCTGCACATGGATTACTTTGTTCATGTGGCATCTATGGCCCGTGCAAGCGATGTTTAAGGTTGTGCCGCAGGCATGAACGGGAACAACAGACAAAGCCACGGAGCAGTCAAGAACTGCATACCGCTGCTCCTTGCGTGCGCTTCCAAAAATTCTGTCAGCTCCCGGCGCCTGTTCCAATTCGGCGCAGCCGGTGCACAGGTCTTTCAACTGGGCCGTAGTGCCTTCGAAGTTGGAGACATCTTGAAGTTCGACAACCCCATCGCAACTCTGTAGCCTGCTAGATAACGGACAACTCAAAGCCTGTGATATCTGCTGTTCTAGCTGCTACTGTACCGTTGCACCCGTGACGCTCCACAGTATATTTGCATGCTTACGGGGTTCTGAGCTATGGTGGTTGACTCTGCTATTGCCTTACCGTGCGTGTTTCAAGCAGTAGCAGTCGTGGTTGCCGACAGCATAGCACGAGAAATGCACTAGTAGTCGTATGTAGCTATCGAAGTAGATGTGGGGCCTCTAGGATCAGTGGGCGTGGGAGCGCGAGTCGGAGTAATCGTAGCTCCTAGTCCTAGTCCATCACCCTTCGTTCATCCATCCACAGGCCAGCTGCAAAGAAGATTGAACTAAGCACCAACAGCCCAGCGTTGCATTTAAACCCTAAGCGCTAACGTTGAAGCCCGGAAGTCTTCCATCAATGGACCCCTTGCTCCGAGCCTTTCCCTGCGATGCATTCGGAAGCAGGCATCAAAGCAGAGCCATCGGCTGTTGACTGCAGCAGCACCTGCATTGAGGTGTGAGGGTTTAGGGTATTGGGCCATGGAGAGGGAGATTCTCATTCTTGCCGAACATGCGAGCTGTATGGAAGTGGTGTTGGAATATAGGCCACGACAGTCAGTGCAAAGCAAGGTTGAACATGTTCCCTATCTCAAACAGAGGCGTGAGTTTTTAGAATACTGTGATTCAAGGGGTACTGAAGGATAACTGTATGTGTATATATATATATGCATGTATGTATGTATGCATACATACATGCATACGTGTTGTGTGTGTGTGTACGTATGTATGTATGTATGTATGTATGTATGTATGTATGTATATATAGAAGCACATACACAAAGACATTCGTTCATACTGGACACATATATATATATATATTACATCTACATGTGTCTACACCTAACTACGACCCTCGCTATGCCAATGATTAAGGCACCTATTTTGACCCCCCCCCCCCTCGAACCACCGCACAGGCGCAGGATCTGTTGCAAGACAAGAGGCCTTCCCGGCCCGAGACACTTCCACGCCTCCGGAGCTCATGGGGGGGTGGTTTTATGTGCTGGGCCGCTGGGCACCTAACTCTTGGGTAATTACTTTGGACCCTGCGCCTACGTCGAGGGTTCAAGCGGAACCAGTGTCAACAAAGCACCCAAGCCTAAAGCCATATCGCACTAGCCAGAGCTCTAAACTATCCCTTCGTCGCAATTATGCACCGCCGATAGTTGCTTTGGGTCCGAGGGTTGAACTTTCGAGGTTAAGGGGCTTACCCGACAAACCCCACAAGCGAGAAAATCGTGAAAAGCAGGCTTTGGAGCTTGCGCCTTTGCGATAAGCAGCTTCGAGCAACAAAGCTCTCCGCTCCTACTCCGGAAAATCGTTAATCCTAAACTCTTTCTGCCTTTGAACCCTAAAACCAATGATTAATCATCTTCTCTACCCCTAAACTCTCAACTCCACACTCCTAAGCCGCCGCAACCCCTAGTCCTGACCTTTCAGTTCCATTCCTAAGTCTTAACTCACCTCCAGTCTGAACCTAAAGCTTAAACCCTAAACCCTAAACCCCTTAGCAAGCCTTTCTCCGTCTCCTTCCACCGGAGAGAACCGACGGCCTGTGCTGAAGGGAGCTTGCATCGGCGAATAGAGGCGCCTAGAGTTAGGGTTGCGGTTTTAGGGTTTGTGTTTTGGGTTTAGGATTTAGGGGCTGAAAAGCAACCAATGCTATAATGGGGGCCCTCTGCTAAGTCTTAAGGCCCCGATAGTAGGCCAGGCATATAGGTTTTGTTGAGGGGCTTAGCATGGGAAATATGAAACCCGAAAGCTCCTATGAAAGCCTAAAAGCCTTGACAAAAAACTGCTAAGAAGGCTCCAGCTTGACGGGGTCGGGATGTGGGGACGGGTGCGAAGGTCTGGGGGCGTAGGGGCTGCTTGGAGGTTCATGGGTAGTTATTAGTGGGGTTATAAGTCCCACAAGTAAGGTTAGAAGTATAGTTACCCTACTTATAACCTTACTTATAACTACCCCTAAACCCTAAACCCTAAAGACCCTATAGAACCCTTTAAAGGAACCCTTAAAGGAATCCCATAAACCTTACTTATAACTACCCATGAACCTCCAAGTGAGGCAGGTATAACCAGGCCTTCGGTCGGGGTTCAGAGCTTCAGGGCTTAAGGTTTATAGGGTTTCAGGATTTAGGGTTCAAGGTTTAGGGCTTCAGGGTTTTAGGTTCAGAGCTTCAGGGCCTAAGGTTTATAGGGTCTCAGGATTTAGGGTTCAAGGTTTAGGGCTTCAGGGTTTTAGGTTTAGGGTTTCAGGATTTAGGGCTTCAGGGTTTTAGGGGATACTTAGCCTAGGGATTTCGCAAATCCTATAAACTCAAACTACTGGTCATCACAGGATACGTGTGCAAAACCATACTGTCCCCATTTGGTGTTGCAGCCTCTGTTGGCTCAGTGCCCTTAAGTCGTAGGCGTGTCTCTTCTTGATGATCTCAGCAATAAATACCCTGACTAAATCCGGGTGCTCGTCCGACCTTCGGAAACCCTCAACCCTAAACCCTAATCCCAAAGCCAAGTATCAGGGCGTCGGGTCTCGGGATTTAGGTAGGGCCTGGGGGTTTCGGGCTCATGAACAGTCCTTATTATAATTATAGTATAATATACCCCAAAACCCTATTCTAATCATTAAGGCCCCCTATATTGGGTAGGGCTAAGGGGTTTCGGGCTCTTAGGCTCCCTGGCTCGAAAGGCTCCCCCACCCTCGCCCCTAAGACTGGCCTTTGCGGGTAGCCGAGCTGTGAAAGATCGGTAGCGGCTGTCCCCCACGGTCCTGGCAGAGTTGAGACTTATCGGCCAGGTAGGGTGTTGAGGGGAATTAGAGTCTTGCAGAAGTCGCTGGTAACATGAAAATAAGGCCTTAGAACGACAGTGGGAATCATCCGCGAAGCTTAGCTTCCTGCCACAAAACAGAAAGATGCTGCAGCGGCAGTGCCCTAAACCCGGAATTGCCAAACTTCGACAACAAATTCCCGACCCTGAACCCCAAACAGAAACCCTGAACCCTCAATCGCAACGCTGGAAGACAACCCTAACCCCAGGAGCAATGGCTGTGTACAGAGAAACCTGAGGCCTTTAGCACAACCGGGTGCGGTCCTCATTTCCTTCTCCTGCGGGATGTTCAAGTACCTTTGCAAAAGAGCTCAGGTTCTGCTGTCCTACCGTCCTCGATGCACCGATGAATCTGATAAAACCCTCAACCCTTGGCTAAACCCTGAAAGCCAGAACCCTAAACCGTTGGCCTTTAAGTCGTTGTCACGGACCCTGAACCGGCCAAGACGTCCAGAGAGAGTAAGGGCAGAAGCTTAGAAGCAGGCCGTCTAGAAACTCTAAACCCTAAACCCTAACCCCTAAACCCCTAAACGCCTAAACCCGATAAGCGGTGAACTCGAAGTCCCTCGCAGTTGGAACCGCGCTGTCGGCACTACACTGCAAGGACACAAGGTCGTATGCGAGTCCAGTGATTACAAAACAACTACACATCCAACTACTGAGGCTTCTTCAAGCAGTAGGCAAGACTGACTGAGGTCTAGGGCTAGGGTCGTCATGATGCAAGGCCGACTACACAAACAACTGCGAGAGCAATGCTGTTCAATCCTTGCAATGCATCATGGAAGGCCATGCCGTGGCTGGGCGCCTTTTGGTCCTCGGGTTAGAGATCATAGAAGCCCTTAAGTCATCCCCTCATCCCTGCGCCGTAAAGACCAAAGTCTAATATCCCGAGCCCTGTATATGTCCTACATTGTCTGGCCGGGTGCTCATGGATCCGGGAAAGGGCGATGAACTCAAACTGAGCCCCAGTCGCCGCCTGCGCAGGCTGCGGACAGGTGGTGCTTGATTCATGCTGTGGATGATATGTCGCCCCCGACCCTGAATCCTGATTCCTTAGCTAGTCGCGACAATCCTAAAGGTCACAATCACAAACACCCCTCCGCAGACGCAGTCGCCCCCGGAACACTGCAGCATATGACAGCGAATCCACGACCTTCGTCGTGGGCAATACAACCTGACTGCCCCAGCCCTTCAGCTTCCGGAGTGCGTGGATTGATGATATGCCTTGAAGGACGCATTAGCCCTAGACGCTGCCAGCCTCCAGATTCACCTCAATGAGGCTTTCGAGCAGCAAAAGGTTTGTGAGACAAAGTCCTCGGTGTGGCAGAAGCCACGCTCTTTATTAGCTTAGCATCATCGCAACGGCAGTGATTCCAGTGATGATGGTGGTGATGTATTAAATGATGATGATGATGATGATGGTGCTGATGATTACGATGACGATGATGACGATGACGATGATGATGTTGATGATGATGATGATGATGATGTTCATGATGATGGTGGTGGCGGTGGTGGCATTGGTGATGATCATGGCACATGTCTATTCAGCATTCTGCACATACATCTCGTTATCATTATTATAATCTTGTCATCATCACCACCAGCTTCATCAACACCGTCAGCATGGCAATACACAACCGCACGACTATCACCGCTATTGTCATCCCAACCAGCACGGAAGATCCACTTCGTTCTCATCAAGATAGATCAGTAGCTTACTACTAAGCAACAACCCATAGCCCTACTCCTGGTGTTCTGTCGAAGGACCGAGGGTGCCAGCGCCGATCGACTCAGCATTAAGCAGGCCAACGATGTACATGGAGGTGGTATAGAAACCTCTGAAGGGCTTTGGCCCGGGTTTAATAAACCTCTCAGGGGCTGAGGGGCTCCTTGATTCAGGGATTTTCGTACGGAGCTTTGAAGGTGTATGGTGTTGCTGCTTGGAGAGACCTTGTAATTGTAAACATCCTCGGTAGGGATTCGGGCATACGGGCGAGGGACCAGGCTGCATGCAAGGCTTTCTGCCTAACAAAGATCATAAACCTGGAACCCTGAACTCCGAATTCGCGCTTGGCGGTCTGGGACATGGTGTTCGGCGCAAGATCCAATGTTCTACGACTTACGACCTGAAGCAGACCCAAACTCAATGCGTGAAAGGTTAAACCAAGTTGTAATGATGTCCCCTGCCCAATCCTCTTATATTCCCTACATGGTATATCGCTGCACCATCACACACCCCACAGACCTAACTACAAAAACTCTGACAAGGTTTCGGGTTTAGAGCGGCATGTCGGGTCAAGAAAGGCGTTCAGGGGCCAATGTAGTCATTCTCAACTGCTGCAAATTACGAACATGTAGACAAAGGCAGCCCTGAGGAAGACTTTTTCTCATTTACATAGGCTTCCATCCGAAGCAAACAGAACCCTTCCAAATCCTAAGTGCAAACGTGGAAGCTCCAAAGAAAGATTACGCGATTCACCAGCCACCGCCTGACAGAGTTTGGAGCACAGGGCGAGGTAGGACAAATTAGTGTCTGTATATGTGCGTGCATACACACATACATATATACATACATACATATACATACATACGTACGTACGTACGTACGTACGTACGTACGTACGTACACACGTACATACATACATACATACATACATACATACATACATACATACATATACGCATCACGCAAATAAGTATGTGTGTAGATATAGCATATATATATATAGATATGTACACATTGGTGTGTATATATATATACATATATATATATATATGAGTAAGCCTACAAATAGGATCATCGATCTCAAGGTTCCTAAAGGGTCGGCAATCCCTGACTTGTCGCAGGCGTTTGGGGGTTGAGGGCTCATGTCTTGAACTCTACCCTGAAGCCTAAACCTCCAGGTGGTTTAGGGTCAGTTTGACAGGCTTTCCGGTTTCTGGACAGGGAACGGCCTGGGATACGGCACCAGAAGAATCCGGTCAAGCTCGCATCAACTGCGGTTTAAGTTTAGTTAGGGACTATCGGGGGGGTCATGAGGTGCAGAAGTTGAAAATTTGGCCAATCCCGATCCGCCTGGAACCATAAACTCATAAACCCTATAACCCCAATGAAAAAGCTTAGGACTCGGAAAATCCGAGGTGTAGTCTTCCGGACTCTTGCCTCAGCACTCGGTCTCCCAAGAGACCGGCTTTCAGCTGATTGTCCATAGCATCACACATCTCCAAGCAGATTCGCTCCTTGAAGGTTTAGGGTTTAGGGGATTCGAAGTTCTAGTTAGTGGAGTCCAGACTTTAAAATTCTAGGGCCTACAGACGTCGCGTTAGACAGAAAACATACACTGGTAAAGACAGTCTGCAGGCGGCTTTGTCCGGCACTTAGCCCGGTGCCCCTTGCCGGACCCATCTTGTTAGCATGTTTGACATGTCCAGCGTGCGCTTGAATGGGTGGTGATGGGGAGGGTGGGGGGGGGGGGGTTAATGCCTTCTGCTCTTGAGCATGGTGGCCTGTGGCTTGCCTCTTGCAGATGCTGCATACTGCATCTATTCAAGCAAGCAATCCTACAGCCATGCCAGCATTTTCCACACTTCCATCAAACGAAGAAAAAAGTGGTAACGGCGTGGTCCGAAGCGCCAGTTTTCACCCCAAAGCCATACTTGCGGTGAGCGGGGCTGGTCCCCGAAAAAAGCCTTCAGCAACACCACAGCGCAATCCGTGCAAGCGAGGAATCCTATGGCCTGGCCAGCAATTTCCACACTTGCATCAACATTGCTGTTATTGCTCTTAAAGGGTGGGTTTTGTGTTGGACCCGTGGCTATTGATAGGACGGCGCCCGTTGCGGGACCCACCTGTTTAGCATGTTTGACATGTCCAGCATGACCTGGGAAGGGGGGGTGGGGGCGGGGGTGGGGTGGCGGGTGGGGGGGTAATGGCGTTCTGTTCTTGAGTCTTACCAGGAACCCCCTTCCGATTGTTCTTGTGACCAAATTCTATCACCAGAAGTCTCCACAAGCATCGGCACTTCTATGATACTGTACTCAGTGTAATGGATGCAGCTTGAAGACCTGGTCGCGATATGCGCGGATCACCACGTTGTTGCTCATCACATCGGAGATCAGGCTGTTCACGTCGGACCGTGCAGTGGACATGCAATACCGCAGGGGCACGGTGGTGTTCCAGTATCCTTGAACCACGGGAAGACTGCAAGCAAGAGTCCTAAATTCGAACATTTACATCCCACATCCCAATTGCAAGTCCAAATGTTCAAATCCCACCACCACCACCACCACCACCGAGATCTCTGCGGCTGCTCGTCTGAATCTTGCAGCCCAGAAGCTCATGCAAAGAGTCCAAATCAGGTAGTAGAAGGGGACAGCAAGGAAAGTCACCATGAGAGGGAGGATGGTGTGCACGTAGATCAAAGGAATCAAGGTCTGGTAGACAATGGCAATTGTCCCGGTGGCCTTCATGTACCTGCGCTGCCCTGCTGGCTCTATGTACAGCACCTTACGCATACATACCTGCATCACGCGTAAATATACATATGTGCATACATACATACATACATACATACATACATGCACCGGTATACGTATATGTGTATGTATGATTATAGATGTACATGTACATGTACATGCGCACACACACATACATGTGGATGTACAGGAAATGTATAAGTGAACAGGCACGTGTATGTGTGAACGTATCTGCATATGTTCATGTGTCTGTGTATCTATTCTGTGTATATGCTTGGGTATAACGTTATGTACATGTTTAAGAATATATGTATACAATACATACTGACATGCATGCATACATGCACTCGCACATTCAAAGTTACATCCATCCATACATGCATGCATGCATGTATGCAGGCAGTCATGCACATACACTAGACAGAGACGCAAGCAGACAGACAGACCGGCAGGCAGACTGACTGACTGACATGCAGGCACGCATGCAAAGCTAGCTGGCTAGCTAGCTAGCTAGCTCGCTGGCAGGGCTGGCTGGCTGGCTAGATCCATCCATAGATAGGTAGATAGGTGGATGGATAGATGGATGGATAGATGGATAGATGGATAGATGGATAGATAGATGGATGGATGGATGGATAGGATAGGATAGGATAAGATAAGATGAGATGAGATGAGATAAGATATGACAAGGATAGATAGATAGACAGACAGATAGATTGACTGATTGATAGATTGATAGATTGAGAGAGAGAGGGAGGGAGAGAGAGAGAGAGAGAGACAGGCAGACAACAGACGGACAGATAGATAGCGAGCGAGAGCGAGAGAGAGAGAGAGAGAGAGAGAGAGAGAGAGATAGAGGCTCATAGAGGTAGATAGACAGACTGCCAGTTAGGCAGCCAGGCAAACAAACAGACAGATTTGTGCCTGGGTAACCTGATAGGCAGGGCTTCAAGCAGGTGTTGAGAGTCTGGTGCATCCAAGACACAGGTACAGGTCTACGACCACCAAGTCTGCGGACATCCGATTCATGATCCGGCCCACAGGGTGCTTGTCGAAGAAGCGGTCGATGGGTGCTTTGAGGATGCGCTGGAGCACGTCCCCGTGGATTTGAGATGAGATGCGGAGAGTAAACTGCTGGCCAAAGTGCCAGCAGATCACCCAAAAGAAAGTCCCCGCTGCGAGCCAAAAGAAATACCTTGCCAAGAGGGTGCATACCCATAGGCCCCTAAGTAGTTCCTTTTTGTGGTTCATGTTTAGAATCCTATAAGGTAATCCCAAAACGGAACTACTTACGGGCCTATGGGTAAACACTGGCAGAATGTAATTAAGTGCCGTTTCCTGGCACGTCGTTGCCCTTGATAATAGCATGCCTGTGGATACCAATAGCTGATACCGGCATTACCGCCCGATAATACTTTCTATACTGCCGGGAACGGAAACTTTAAGCTATCCCCCTGCTAAACAGAAGCATCAAGTAGAAAGCCAAAACGTCTCAGTCAGTGAAAGCTAGAGCTAAGATGCCCTGTCAAGTAGGGCCTGTCATCGATCTCTGGATGAACGGCCATGGTGTTCGTCCAGTGAGCTAGGACCAGATCACAAAGCAGGTACCTCGAAACGAGGGACACAACCTAGACCTAGACTTTGTGTAACCAACACCTTGGATATATGTCTAGTCGTGAAGATCTCGAGCAGGTGTCACGTGCCCTTACGGCTCCGCCAAGAAAGTCCACAGTCACTGGCATAAGGTCGTCCAAACCATCGTAAGTAACGCGGCGTAGCAGGGATGTCTGTCGACACTACCACCCTAAACCCTAAACCTCCAAACACTGAACAAGGAACTCGCCTCAGCTGTTCTCAAAACCTCAAACCCTCAAGAAGCAAGGCACAAATAGATCTGCATGAAGAACACCAGGCATGTGTTCAGGATGTTCCTCCATCGGCCCACCCGGCAGTAGTGCTTCACCTTAGACATTAGATGGAAGTGGGCTTCAGGCTTCGGGTTTTGCCTATACTAGATGGCCAATCCTCAGCCGAAATACTAAACTCTACATCCAAAGCCGAACGTTCTGTGACAGGACATTTGTCCCAGTTTTCAGGACTTGTCGGGCAGGGGTCTCGACCCCCCGAGCACCTGCAGCGAACGAGTGGCCGAAGCGCCCAAACACCCCAGCCACTCGCCTCAACTCCAGGCCTTCGAAGAGAAATCTGAATCTAAATGAGTATGTAGGTGTAAAAACCTATAATAAGAATACACCATTCCCGACTTTTCTTGGGTTCAGGGTTTAGGGTTTAACGGTTTAGGGATTAATACACCATTCCAGACTCTCTTCCAAGCTTCCAAACAGAGCTTCCAGCCACACACCCTAAACCCGAAGCCCTACCTCCATTGCCAACCCCCCAAAACCAACACCTCCGCCATCACTACACCCACTGAACCTTTCCTCGCTGATACCCTAAACCCTAAACCGGCAAAGTGTGAAACAAAAGCCATCGCAAAAGCGAACTCTCGTCCAGGTTCTCAGGTTTAGGGCTTAGGGCTTGGGGGTTTAGGGTTTAGGATTTAGGGTTTATAAGGGTTTAGGGGGCTTAGGAGTTAGTATTTATTGTTTAGGAGTTTAGGTACCCTGGTGCTCTGGTACCTGCGATTCACCTTACTTGGGAGAGCCCCAAATCAAAAAAGGGGAGAACGGGATGACCCAACAGATCCCACAGAAACTCATCTAAAACCCAGGCCCATCATATTATAATATATGAATATTAGAATATATTACATATTATATAGTATTTTTATGTATTATTCTTATTCATACTATAGACACTGGATAAATCCCTAAACAGGTTAAGCCGGAGGGGCCATCTCCCAGGTAGGCCTGCCTTGGGCCTCCTCCTCACGTAAGCTGCCGGCGGTGTAGATGGTGGTCGGCTTATGATGAGCGACCTCCATCTTCGGAGAATCTCGCTCATGGGGCTAAAGGCTTCAGGTTCAGGTTATGGTTTGAGGTTTAGGGCTTTGGGGCGTGCAGCTGAAGGCTTGAGCTTATGGGTCACTTGGGCCCTGGGACGCGAAGGCTCGTACAGGCTTGCAATCAACATCTTGAAAGTTCACTGGGTTTAGGGTTTAGGATTTAGGGGTTCCATATATGTTCTGCTAAAGGTTAGCTGAAACGTTGACGACTGCAAGTCTCAGGCGCGGAGCAATGGGTGCAAGGCACTCGCTGCCTCTTCTGGGGTACACTCGAGCCCCTGACCTCAAGATCCGAACAACCCCCACAAACGTCATCAAACAGTGCTCTGCAGCATTACCACCATGGTCCCTGGACCCTAAAATCTCAGGCCTAAAGCCGACAACCCCACATCCGTAGATCAATCAAAGGGGCGACCTCCGGATCCTAACACCAAAGACACAACGAAAAAGAAGCTACCTTGGACTCTTCCTTTCCGGAGGAGTCGGGTGATCCATCGTCGAAGATATCTGGGGACTTGGCTTCAAGACTTTTGGATTTGGGGGCGACTCGGAGCTTAGATGATTGACTTTAGGGGTTTAGGGTTTAGGGCGTAGGTTTAGGGTTTGGGGCTTAGGGTTTTGGGTTTGGGTTTTGGAAGAATGCTTGAATCCCAAGTTTGGCTGGGGATTTGAATTTGGGGAGTTGGATTAAGGATCCGGGTCAGGGGATGGGGTTCGTGGGGCTGATTTAGGCATGAGGTTTTTTCAGGCTCGGAGACATGTAAGGCTTGAGAGGAAAGTCAGAGGTTTGGTCGGTGGGTTTACTGGGTTTTTGTACTAGAGGATTTTATTTAAGTTACCATAATGGGGGTCTTTGTACATAATATGGTTTCCTTATTATGGCAACTTGAATTAAATTCCCTAACAAGAACCCAGTTTATGGTAGGGCTTTCCGTGTTTGGATTCGGGTTTCGATGCTCAGTGCTTGTGGATGTACGGCACATGTTAGTCGGGTTTTCAGGTTTGGGATGGTTGGTTCCCGGTTCAGCGTCAGTCATCGCAACCTCTGGGTCCTCTGCTTAGGTGTAGGGCTAAGGAGTCACCGATATGCGAACCCTAAACCCTAAACCCTAAGATTTTGACAGAGTTGACTGACAAACAAGGCTTGAAGATCGTTGGTTCGGGGCTTTCCTGGCATGATTCCCAGTGTGCCTGTAATCCCCAACTCTGACTGCGGTTTACTGGTACTACTACCATTAACATTATATCACCAGCAATCAGGCGATTATTACTGTTCTGTTGTATTCCTTGCTGTTAAGAATTATCGTAGCTATACCCTAAACCCTAAACCTCTATGGCATCCTCACAGTAATTAAAGCCTTTCGGGTTCTTCGCCAAACCTCCCAGTTGTAGTTGGGCACACCCCCAGAAGGGTCTCGGGATCCGGGTTCATTCAGGGTTGAGGGTTTTGGGCTCAGGGTGTAGAATCAGAGCCCTAAAGCCCCAAACCTCAAACCAAAAATAAAGTCCCCAAAACCCAAACCCAGACTTGACAGAATCGGGGGCCTGCATCGGCGGCCGCCCTTTGAAGGAGGTCCTTGTAGGCCCTCGTCTCCATCACCTGGAAGTGCTCTCCGGAACTGTTGATCCTGCGCCCTACCCATAGGCTCCGTAGTAGTTCCTTTTTGGGGTTACCTTATAGGATCCTAAATATAAACCACAAAAAGCAACTACTGTGGCGCCCATGGGCACACCCTTCTTCTGATTATGACTCGATGGCCTCCTATGACCGTTTTGGGAACAGGTATACCTCAATCAGACCGCTTGGAAATGCCTTTTTTAAAAGTACCCAGAAAGCGAATCCACTTGAATGCCATTGTACCCGGAGCTGTCACGTGATTACAGTTCTGAATGTTGACGTGACTACGTACCTATAGGTCAGCCGGAGCCTCGGGTCTGGAGAGGGATTTTCACGACTCTAAACCGATCCGAAAAGTGGGGTGCCTGCGGCCAAAACTGTACTGAGATGTCACAGACATCAACAGCCTGCCTCTCTACCCTGGAACCCTAAACTTTCAAACAAAAACCCTTAACCCTAAACCC